CCCAGCTCCTCAGGAGGCTGAGGCAGGAAGACTGCCAGAGCCCAGGAGGGCAGGAAGTCGAGGCTGCAGTGAGGTGTGACAGTGCCACTAATGCACTCCAGCCAGAGCAACAGAGAGAGAGAGAGGCTCTCAACTCAAAAAAAAAAAAGGAGTCACTACTGGACACATCTATAGCATCTGTAGCTGCTGTCATCCGGTGACCCTGGACAATGCCTACTGACGCATGTGACATTTGTACTCTCGTTACCACCTCTGACCATCACAGGAGGTAAGCAGGGTTATCACTGTGTTTTAAGGCTGAAGTAAATGAGGTCCAGACAGAGTCACTCTGTAGGGGGTCTACTTCTGGTAGGAGAGTAAGCGAGAGGCAGGACTCAGATGAGAGGGAAACGCAGAGTTCTGGGCTGTGTGTTCACGCAGGCGTGTGTAGACAGAGGAATAAATGCACCTTTATTTTCCACACAGCTGGAGCCAATGGATTGTAATTCAATTCCCAAAGAGAAAAATGTAAACTAACAAATATTTGAAAAATTGATGGTCTTACATCCCAGAGACCAGGCTGGAGAGGACGCAGTGCATTTGGGGGGTGGCCCTCGAGTCTTGCACGGGGGAGGCCTGGAGCACACGTGGATGGCACAACCGATGAAAAATTAGCAATGGGACATGTATCATGGGAGAGGAAAGAAACAGAAATGGGGTCCATCGCTCAGCCCTGAAACTCAGAGAACTGAAAAGGGCCTGGTGGGAACGAAATCTTGGGGTTACACGGGCAGATGGTCGCCTCCTGGAAATCTACCAGTGGGAGTGCTGGGTGGTAAGACATAGGAGTCAGGCAGGCAGCTGAGTGGAGTGTGACGTGTACATAAGAACACTGGAGCCACAGGAAGGGGCGCCGGAACCACTCAACCTGGAAACATGGGAGTGCAGACCCAGATGTGGGCCCTGCAGGGGAGCAAGTTCCAAATGTTGCAAAGACTACTGTTGATCCGGACTGCGGCTATCACCACGAGCAAGGTTCCGTGAGCTGAATGGGACATGCTTTTAATCACAATTCTGCTCTGCAGTCAGTGTCATTTGATAATTCACTTTTCTAAAAACAAGAACCTCTGTTTCAGAACACAGGATGTTTTGAAGGTAGCATTCTTGGCATTTAGAAAAGAGTAAGAAGCCTCTTGGCTTTTGGACTGTGGCTAAAACCATAGCTTTTTTTTGAAGTGAGTTTCAGGCAAAAAAATAACTTATACTGTATTAGATACTAAAGAATTACTTTTGATTGGCATACTTTAAAAATATGTCAGCCGGGCTCGGTGGATCAGCCTGTAATCCCGCGCCTTTGGGAGGCTGAGGTGAGTGAATTGCCTGAGCCCGCGGGTTCGAGACCCGCCTGGGCAGCGAGACCTCATCTCTACAATAAATCAAAAAATCAGCCGGGTGTGGTAGTGCATGCCTGTAATTCCGGCTACTTGGAAGGCTGAGGCGGAAGGATCGCCGGAGCCCAGCAGGCTGCGGTGGCCACTGCACTCCAGTCTGGGCAACAGAGTGAGACTTCAACTCAAAAAAAAAAAAAAAAAAAAAAGTCAAAGGATGACCATCAGTCTTTCAAAGATATTTGTACAATGTATGTAGTGATATATGGGTAGAACTTGGAAAAGCATGGATTTACTTATCTATTAAAGTGATAACGTCTAGTAAGGAGGGAGAAAAGCCAGAAGCGGGATGTAGAGACAAAGGAAAGCACACCAAAGTGGACTGATGAAGAAGTATGGAGAAGAGAGGAAATCACAGAGAAAGAGACAGAGACAGAGACAGAAAGAGAGAGAGAGACAGAGAGAAAGAGAGAAAGTTAGAGAGACAGATAAAGATAGACACACACAGAGAGAGACAGAGACAGAGAGAGAGAGAGAGAGAGAGAGAGTCAGAGAGAGTGAGACAGAGAGTCAGAGAGAGACAGAGTGAATCTGAGAGACAGAGACAGTCAGAGATAGGCAGAGAGAATCAGAGAGAGAGAGAGAGAGAGAACGAGAGAGAGAGAGAGAGCGAGAGAGAGAGAGCGAGAGAGCCAGAGAGTCAGACAGAGGTGGAGAGACAGACAGAGAGAGAGAGAGCGAGAGACAGAGAGAGAGAGAGAGAGAGAGAGAGAGAGAGAGAGAGTCAGACAGAGTCAGAGTGAGAGACAGAGAAAGAAAAAGAAAAAGAGCCAGAGAAAGACACACAGAGAGACAGGGAGAGATAGACACAGGGAGAGAGAGAAAGAGAGTCAAACAGAGATAGAGAGAGACAGAGAGTCAGAGAGAGACAGAGAATGAGAGAGAGAGCGAGAGAGAGAGAGCGAGAGAGTCAGAGAGAGTCAGTCAGAGAGAGAGAGTCAGAGAGAAAGAGAGTCAGAGACAGAGACAGAGATTGGGAGAGGGAGAAAAAGAGAGAGATGAAGAGAGAGAGTCAGAGAGAGACAGAAAATCAGAGAGAGGGAGAGAGGCAGAGAGAAGGAGAGAAAGACAGAGGGAGGGATAGAGAGAGAAGGAGGGACAAAGATAGACAGGAGGAGATTTGGGAAGAGATAGGGAGGAGCGAGAGATAGGGAGAGAGATGAGGAGGGAGAGAGAAAAAAGAGGGGGAGAGAAAAAGGGGGGACATAGGGAGAGAGGTAAGGAGAGAAAGGGAGATAGAGTTAGGGAAAGAGGAGACAGAGAGAGAGAGAGAGACAGGGAGGGAGAGAGAAAGAGAAAGGGGAGAGGGAGAGTGAGGGGGAGAGAGAGAGGAAGGGAGAGAAAAAGAAGGGAAGAGACAGGATGAACTTTTGAGGAAACCAGGTAAGGATCTCAGCCCAAGGTGTTGAGACTGGAGTGGTTCATTGTTAAGGGCTAAACTATGTGCTCCCGATTCATACGTTGAGTTCCTAACCCCAGTACCTCGGATTGTGACTGTATTTAAAGATGGAACCTTTAGAAAGGCAATTAAGTTAGAAGAATGTCACCGGTGGACACTAATCCAATCTGACTGGTGTCCGTACAAAAGAGAAAGTTTGAACGCACAAAGAGACACCAGGAATGTGTGTGCACAGAGAGGCACGAGCATGTGAGGATTCAGGGAGAAGGTGGCCGTCTGCACACCCAGGAGAGACCAACCTCCAGAACTGCGAGCAACTAAATGCTGATGCTGCCCAGTCTGTGGTGTTTTGTTATGGCAGCCCAAGTAGACTACCACATTTATCAAAGTCCCGTGGAGGAGGAAGCGGAATTTATTCCCACAGTGGGGCCCTACGCTCTTCCTCCTCATGTGACGCCATCACAAGGCAACAGGTTCTAGTACAAACTCTGTGTTCTCACCTCCCCCGCGTGCCCCCCAGGGCCATCGTTGCTTCACGATCCCCCTCAACCCTCCTCTGCAGCTGCTGCAAACCTCCCAGTGTTGGCATCGCAGACAAGCCTGGTGTCAGCATGGTGTGGGCCACAATGGCCTATGGCAGTAGGCACTTAGCACAGACCGCCTCGTCCTCTCCAAGTCTTGTGTAGTGCTCTGCACAAAAGCATGCCAAACAGTGCCACACTTGGATGCTACAGTCACAATGAGCTCATTTTTTGAAATCAAAGATGGAGCACTTTACCTTTTTTTTTTTTTTTTGATTTGGAGTCTCACTCTGTCGCCCAGACTGGAGTGCAGTGGTCGCTCCCGGCCACCGCAGCCTCGACCCGCTGGGCTCCGGTGATCCTTCCGCCTCAGCCTTCCAAGTAGCTGGAATTACAGGCATGCGCTACCATGCCCGGCTGAA